CGCCGTGCCGGGAGCCGCGCGTCCCGCCTGAGCTCTGTGCCCGAGCCCGGAGCCCGCTGCTCGTCGGTCACTCGGGGACACGGAGCCTCCCCCGACCCCTGCGGTGCTGGCCTGACCTGCCTGATACTTTGGTGCGCTTATTTTCGTGTATTTTTTTTTTTAATGTGGCCGTTCAGTAGTGCTGAGGCTGTCTCTTAATAAGCAGCAACTTTCAAGGCATCTTAAAAACGCAGTCAAGTTGGGTGGAACTTGGAATGACCTGAGTTCTCTGCCATTATGGTTTTAACACTGTCAGTGGCAGGTGAGTGACCCAGGAAAGGAGGGAGTCCTCCAAAACATCCCTTCCCGCTCCTTGTGATACTTGCACCGCACGTAAGGGTGATCCTCAAATTAATGGCTCAAAGGTAGACTTTCTGTATGATTTTGAATAAGACACTTAATCTCTCATGGCTCTGTCCATATTTGTAAAATGAAAAAAAGAACACTTGGCCACTTCTAAATTAAAAAGTGTAATTTTAACACACTTATTTTAAATAGAGCCTGGGACGCAAATAAAATTTGTGCATTGTTTTTTACTTACTACTTGTTCTATTTGCATGCAATATGAAGAGGGGGCTGGGGTGAATTTAGCAAAGATTACAAAAGCCTTGCTGTATGAAGGTCTTCCTTATATCTGTGATTTATTTTTAAATATCTTGCTCTTTTATACTGAGCAATGCAATTGTCTTCATCGTGTCTTCAGGGAAATGTGGAGACTGTTCAGCTGGTTCATGGGTTTCAATTCATTTTTAAACTGGACTTTTATATAGCCTTTTATTATCCCTTCTAACATTTGCAGTAAGCTATGGCCTTAGAAAGCTTAGAAAAATAATTACTATTTTATCAGTTTGCATACTGTGTATTTTAAAGTTTATTAAAGCATCCTGGAAACTTTTGTTACCAGGTACAGCACTTTAATGGGCTACTCAGTGTAATTGTGATTATTCAGTGGAGTGTTGGCTGGGCATGGCCCAAAGGCTTGCCCTGGTGTTCTCCACAGACTAGAAATTATACTTTTTAATTTTTTTAGTTCACATTTGCACTCACTTTAGTGTAACACTTGCCTGTATAGAACTATGGGATTCTTAAGGATAAATTTATAATTCTCCTTATTTCTTCTAGAAGAAGAACCTATCAGATATTTGTGTACTGAATCTTAAGGGCATAAAGAACTACCTCTTTCATATCTGGTTGTTACCCTTGAAGAATTGTTAAAGCTTTAGGAAGATGGTAAGTTTTGTATCTTTTTTATTTAGAAACTAAAGAGCAGGAAGTAGTCTAATACCATGGTGTGTATACCAAGCACTCTTAAACATTCAAGTTGATTACATGGCATGGATTTTCTAGTTTAATCCAGCTACTGCCACAGGCAAATGTTTGAATTTATAGCTTTGCCTTGCGGAGATGTCTTTGTAATTAAGTTCATTGTTGGGTACACTGAAATTATTTTTTCCTTCTAATCAGTAATCTGTTCAAAAAGGTTACCTAATTGTTTGGATTGCCACCTATGTTTGAACCAAAAGTGCTAACTATTTCTTTAGGTCAAGGAGATGAGTAAAAAATAATTTTTCTTCTCCATGGTTCTAAATGTCTTTTGTATTTAGTTTTATTTTATAAGGCCCATATGGAGTTTATTTTTGAAGTTAATATGTAAGCATTAGAGTTTTATGTTATATAATACTAATAATATGTTGTTTATATTATATTGCTAAACACTGCTAAGTGGGGGGGAAAATGCATTAGTACATATATCTTAATCTCATATTTTTGAGCTCTTGTGTCCATACTTCATTTTACATACAAATTTAGTAGCAGTACTGTCATGCACAAAAAAGTATGCTAATAGTAATGTCAGAATCATTTTTTTCTTGTATTTACAGTGAGACTTGTCATTAGATTCTCCTGCTTACTTACAATGCAGATTTAATTTGTTAACTGCTCATTATTTAATAAATTTACCTCTTTATCTTTCTTCACCATCTCCCATTTGACAATTAAATCTAAAATGTACCCATAAAATTTACTTCTTTCTGAGAAGAAAATGAATTCACTTTCTGTGCACTTGAAGTAACAGAAACTTCTCCGTGTCTTGCTGCAATGCAAAATGTCACAATTATCGTTTTAAAATATCCTTTTAACTTATATGTTGGTGTATTTAAGTTATAATACTTTGGATGGTAACCTAGGAAAATAATGAAGGAGAGGGAAGAATTTTCTTCAAAAATATAAAGATTGTGCACTCATGGCATGTCAAAATACAATCAAAAAACTTTGGAAATAATCTCTGGGAAGAATTTTTTTCAAAAATGATTCAGAGCAGCCTCTTTTATTTGTCTGGTTTGTTGGTTTTCCCTATCCCTACAAATGCATTAAAAAAAAATCCCAAGGATTAGAGTGACCTTTAATGCTATGCCCCAATCTGGTTTGAAATGCTATGCCCCAATCTGTCCGATATATCCAAGAGGATCTGAAAGTCTATAAACCTTGAGTTACTGCCCTTTTTTTTTCTTCTTCTTTTTGGTGCAGCCTGTCAAAATGAGAAGTGGCCAGGGGCTTGGGTTTGGGGAGGCTTGGGGTTTTCTTCTCTTATTTGGCCAAGCTACTAGTAACAGCGAAAGCAAGAGCTTTAGGTTGCCTGGAAACCTGCCCGCTCCATGTGACAATATAGAAAACTTCCAGCCTGGCACTAGAAACACTGAAAACAAAAAAGATTAGTCTGGAGTTACTGTCTCTTTAAACGGAGCTAGATCAGTTCTGCAGATCACTAGAGAGTGCTCAGGCACCAATTAAGTGAAACTATTAAGATAGTTGCTATTTAGGATTATTTCTAAACACTGTATGTCGTCTTGCATGTTAATGTGAGGTTAAACCACTCATTATTTTTAGATACCATTCTGTTACAACAGAAAAATAAGTAAAGTATTTCGCATGGGGTACAGTCAGTTTTTGCAAAAAAAAGAAATCAAAACATTTCTTAAACGAGCTGGTGACTTGAGTTCTGTCACTACTAATGTTATTAACATTGTCCACATCTATTTTGCCTTATAATGAACAGTAAGCATCGATATTTTTGATGTTTTCTCTCAGTGGAGAGGCTAAGAAGTTTTTTAGTGTGAAGACTGTTGCGTAAGCTGTGTATTGTAAGGCGTTTTGGCAGGGGTACAACCTTTCTCACTCTGTGCTATATCTGTTCTGTGTATACAGAGCTACTCAGTCTCTGGGACTATCAATCTGCCATCTTTCATCAGCACTATATTTACTGCAAATGTTTCTGTGTGTGTATGCAAAAAATCCTATTCAAATGCTTGTAAACATGGGTAAAAGTATTAAAACGAGTGCATCTTCTGTTTTACTTCTCTGAGAATTGCTCTTTATTGAATTCTGATAAACACGTCTGCACACTTTGACTCTCAAATTCGCTCAGCCCATATTTCTGTATATATTTTTTTATCTTGAATCATCAAGTAATCTTGTCTTGCTCATGAGTGTCACACATTTTTTTAATGCATTTAATTAATCCACTTAATATATTATTGAAATGTCTTCGAAAATGCTTTACTGACCTATGAGATAAGGAAAATGCATAGTGTGTATAATATTTGCGCACACAGATTTTGGTGTGTTACAAAATTTCTTTTTAGGAACATAATTGCTTAGAGGCATGGAGTTCTTACTACTGTTTCTCTTATACTCCATCTTCTCTCCAAACTGCGTTGCTAACATATGACCTAATAATCTGAGCTTTAAAACTGTTATTGTCCACTTATGGGACGGGTTTAATTTTTCCTCTTTTTGTTTTGGTTTGGAAAACTAATATTACACTAAGAGGAAAGTTAATTAAAAATAACTTTATTAAAAGTATTAATCCGAGTGTGTTGTATCTTTGTAATATGGGCCGTTGCTAAGATTTTTAGGCTCACTCGAAGAATATGTCTTGAAATATTAGTGCAATTTGTGGTGTACGCTTTGGTTCTTTCCTAATGGTTAAAACACAGAATTTTGTGCTTTTAACATCCTCATGTTCTGTTACTGTACACCAGCATTTTACTTGTACAGTGTTACCCTTGACGAATGGCAAAATGAATTGGGTAATATCTATTCTGGAACTTAAAAGATTGTTCAGTAATATTTTAGCATTTTCCTTTATCCATATCTTTGTAAAATAAAGTAAGGTTCATAGTGCTGAGCTTACACCTTTGATCTCAAGAGGTTTTTAGGTAGCTGACACAAAAGTTACCATTTATCCAATATGGATTTGTTGGCTGCTTAGTTTCTAATCAGGATTCATATTTCCTCTATTCAAATATTTTATTTTAGCTCTGAATTAAATCAAAATTTGCATTAAAAAATACAAACTATTCAGTAGGTTCTCGTAGTTTAAATGCTTTCAAGACAACCTGGGTTTATTTCTTTTAAGTGAAATTAATTTTATTTTCTTTTTATTACAGAAGTGATGCTAAGTTTTACTAGTCTCTGTGAAATGTTTGGGGATTTTTTTTTAATGGAAGGATGCTTTTTTGTAATGGAAACTACATAAAGTTGCCTTAATAGTAATAAGGCCTTCTTGCCTTTCCCAAGAAGAGAGAGAGATAAAACAGTTTAGATCTCTGACTCTTTACAGGTCCAAGTATTATGAACATATATTCACATTCTAATAGGAAAAACTGATAACTACTCTTCAGGAAACCTTTCCAAGACTTATTCAAAAGTGTGTGCCAATTATTAGTGACAGCTCCTATAGCCAGCAGCTGTTTACACAATGAGAACTGAAATAAGCTACCCTAATAACTTCCCATTGAAAAGAGGAAAGATAAAACAGCACTCAGGGCTTCATTCACCACTGGGCTAAGTGGTCACACAGTTTTATTAATTTCAGACAAGTTAGTCGAGTGATTAATTTTGAAGGCTTGTCATCTGTGTAATATGGGCCTGTTTGACTTTATACATGATTGCGTTCGCACTCCTGCATTTAAAGGCTAAATAAATAAAGAGACCAAGTTGTCTGACAACTTCATTTAGGAAGTTCAGAGCAAAGAAAGGATTTGATCTTAGTTGTTCATATTCATGGACCATTCTTCTTTTCTAAAATATAAAACCAGCTAGTGAATGATTTTTTGGTAGAGCTGCTGAGTACTCCTATCTTTTCATGACAGCTATTGAAACTCCATAGAAGTAAGCTCTGACCTTAGCTTTGCAGTTCACTTTGCATGCTTGATAATATACAAATCACAGTCATGTAATACTTGTCAACAAAAATCATTTCATAAATTTTATGGACAGTTTTCTATTCGTAGTTGGTTCTGGCCTTGATTTTTTTAGGAGCTAATTAAATATTTTGATCAGGGTAATATTTTTTTATTTCTTTAGCAGGACTATTTCAATTGCTTGTTCCTCAGGCATAAATTATGAAATTCATCATCACTAAGTGGAAAGTGTTATACCCTGTCATTTCTGCTTTTTCATATGTGCTTGAAGTTGTTAGCAGAGATGCTGAGGTATTTTATATCACACAGTATTTTTTTGCTTTATGGCATTAAACCCTCTCTACTTGAGATATTAGAGTTTATCCACTTTCTTACCTGGTAAAGAGTTGATTAGTTCTCAGAAAATAGATTATATTAATTTGATTTCATTTTTTTATGAGAAGAAAGTGCTCATCCTATGGAAATATTAGAACTCTTAGTTACTGCCTCACTTATAGGTGACCGAAAATTCATTTCAGCCCTGCTTGACTGGGGGAGGGTGGGGGGACCACCCTTGTTGATGGTTGTTAAGTGTTCAAGTGCCAAACTCACTGTATTTGTATTTGTTTATTTTTCAGATGGAAGCTATACAGACAATGATTTTTTTGATGGATGAGATACTTGTGTAAATTTGTCTAGTGGCAAGTTTTTAATTCTTATTATACTTCATTATCAGATTTGTGCATGTATTCGGAAGTGTAAAAACAATCAGGGTGTTGTTCAGCTGAAAGTAAAACACGAATGAGGGCACGAGGCAAATTACTTATTCTCATAAGACTTAAATGGCAGTTCATATACCCCAAGGCAGGACCCATTACACATGGGTCATTCTTAACCAGTGTTTGTCTTGCATGCTTATAAAGCTTTGCAGTGATAAATGGTCTTTATTCTCTTATGGCAGTGTGTTCCACTGTCTTACTACTATCTGAGAAATGATCCTGAATTTTGCTACAGACTGTAGCAAAAAAACTAGAACTCATTGTTTAATGTGTTTGTTTTGCTCTCATATTGTTCAGTGTACCCAAAAGTGAAGTTTATTCTAGTAAAGTTTGAAACCCAAAGCTTGTATGAGGTGTCTTGTAATATACTTGGGAGACTGGTCAGTGTTTGAGTACCAAAAAAGAACTTGTTGTGCAAACGTTTTCTGCAGCTCTGTCTGTTTTCTAATAAAAGACAAACAACTTGGGTTTGTCATTTTAAAGTCGTGGTAAGTGTGGAAGAGTAAATTATGTCTGGCTGTGTATTCCCATTTTTGTGTATTAAAGCTGTGAATAAGTAGTGTGAGGCTTAGAAGTTGAAAATAACATGGGGAACTTTCTCTCTGAACTCGACTGTTCTAGATATTTATAAGTGGAAAGATCATCATGCCTTTAAATGTCAGTGTCACTTGAGAAATATCATTTTACTGCCAGAAAGTGCCAAACCACTAAACTGTTGATGCTCAGATGTTTTTGTAAATTAAGTAAAATTAGACAAATCACTTCTGCTTCTGGGTACTTCCTGGAGGATAGCAGACTGTGCATGACAGAACTTCTAAATCATGTGTCTGACACATGGAAGAAGAAAATATTTAAGGTATTTTTACTCCTAGTCCGTTCTTTCAAGGCAAAACATAGGACAAACTAAACCTAATCAGGAGGATGTTAATGAGATTCTCTCATAGTGAGGCTAACCTGTAAGGGGATTGCACATCAGATTATCTTGTGATAAGATAAACCTCTAAGGAGTCCGTGCTATGAGACAAGTGTAACAGCTTGATAATATTTCTTCTGCAGCAGTGTCAGACTGGATAGCAAAATTGTACACACTGATTTTCTTTCCTCCTTTATACTCAGCCTTTTTGCAGCACACAAGCTGCTTGACTTGTATCATCAAGTCTCATGCATATAGCACAAAGCAGAGTATAGCTCTCCTAGCAAGAAGTGGTCAGGCCTTGGGAGATGAAAATGAAATGCCTCCCTGCTTTATCTGCTGTCCCCTCCTTCTGCAGCCAGCCAAGTAGCGGTCAAGTACAGCTTTAGCTATTAGCCCATGTCCCTGATTTTCCTCTTGGCTGTGGTGTGGTGAGGCTACCTAAAGCAGTCTGGCGTTAATGTTGCAACTTGCTTCAGGGATGTTTTGCGTTCCACATCAGTCGAAGAAGCGAACAGTTGTAGAAAAATTACACGTTATATGCTATGAGTAGAAGGGTATTTCTTAATTGAATCTCCTGCTCGTGTCCATCAGCTGCTTTATATGACATTACTTTTCAAAGGAAAGTATTTTTCTCAAAAGAAACTCTCTCTCTCCTGTTTATTAGTTCTTGTAACAGCATAGTAAATATTGTCGGTTTTACTCCGAGATAGGAAACTAGTAATGATATATTGTGTGTAGCTTTATTGTGCTTGGATTGTGGAATCATACAATCACAGAATGCTTAAGGTTGGAAGGGACCTCTAGAGATCATCTAGTCCCTGCACACGCAGGGTCACTTAGAGCACGTGGCACAGGGCTGCATCCAGGCGGGTTTTGAAGATCTCCAGAGAAGGAGACTCCACAACCTCTCTGGGCAGCCTGTTCCAGTGCTCTGTCACCCTCACTGTCAGGAAATTTTTCCTCAAGTTCCTGTGGAACTTTTGATGCTTCAGTTTGTGGCCATTACCTCTAGTTCTGTCAGTGGCCACCACTGAAAAGAGGCCAGCACCATCCTCCTCAGTGTCTCCCTTGAGGTACTTATAGACGCTGATCAGATCCCCTCTCAGCCTTCTCTTCTCCAGGCTGAACAGGCCCAGCTCCCTCAGCCTCTCCTCATAGGGCAGATGTTCCAGGCCCCTGCTCAATGCACCCCAGGATCCCATTGGCCTTCTTGGCCACGAGGGCACACTGCTGCCTCATGGTCAACTTCTTGTCCACCATGACACCCAGGTCTTTCTCTGCAGAGCTGCTCTCCGGAAGGTCGGTCCCCAGCCTGTACTGGTGTCTGGGGTTATTCCTCCCCAGGTGCAGGACCTTGCACTTGGCCTTGTTGAATTGCATGAGGTTTTTCACCGCCCAGTTGTCCAGTCTGTCCAGGTCCCTCTGGATGGCAGCGCAGCCCTCTGGGGTATCAGCTACTCCTCCCAGTTTGGTATCATCAGCAAACTTGCTGAGGGAGCACTCTGTGCCTTCATCCAGGTCATTGTGCCATGTAGCTACTCTGCTAGGCTTTCTAGAGCTTCCTCCCCATTGCTATGCATCTTCATTGGTAAGTAAAAATAATTGTTCATTAAATAAGGTCCACATTTTTCCATGTATGCATGGAAGAAAGAAATTTGTAATAATAACGAGGTGCATGTTTTCATTTTTGAGGAGCCATTATATTTTTGCATCCATTTTTATTAATTTATAAAAGATTTTATACCAGGATGAAGCAAACTCTTCTTTCTAAAATTCTTACCTCACTGTGATCTAGGTTCTCGTTTGTATACAACATTTTTTTTGTAAGCACTATGCCTAAAACTAGATCATGGCTGTTACTGGTTAGCTTCTGACAGGACATAATGAATTCTCTGGTACCTTGCCGTACCATTGTTTGGGAGGGAAAAGTCACTGACTCATGTTCGATTTTCTTTTTGCTGTCCTTGGGGTATTTTCCAATAGACCAGAAGACTTAACTGGTTATATCCTACTTGGCATAGATGCATTTTTTAGAAGAAAATCAGACACAGTATATTTTCTTTGTGTTAGAGAATTTCTTTTTTTCCTTTTGAATTATTTACATTTCTACAATTCATTATGAATTCAGTCTTCGAAAATACTTCCGACTGCTTCTAACTGCTGATTTTATAATTTTGTTTTATCACAAAATTATTGAAAAGATAGGGTAGAATTAACTCTGAAAACCAGTCTGAAATGCCCATTCAGTTTTGATCTGATGGGAAGGCTGCCTTTTCAAAGAGGAATTGAAAGACTTAAGTTTATATAATTAATGTAGAATAATTAAGTGCTATGAGACTGAGGAAGGTAAAATACGGCATAGGAATTATATGAAGGCAGTCAACAAGAATTAAAAAAAGATTTGCCATGAGCTTCTTGAATGTTCAAACGTTTTGTCTTTCATGAGCAGATAGTGTGATGATCCTGATTTATACTGTGAAATATTTTTGAGATAAGCAAATGAAATAAAATACTATATATTCAGTAAACATTCCCCCCAAAACACCTGGTTTCCAGGATAGAGGAGCCAAGTGTCAATATGAGGGCTTTGTTTTTAGGCCTTCAAACTTCTACTGTGCCAAGTCAGGAAAGCTTCCAGCCCTTACCTTTTTTAAGAGAACAGTCTGAGCAGTTGTTTTTAAGGCAATATTTATGTACTGAGAACTGACAGAAGAAAAGCAGTGCAGTACTATACACACACACACACACACACACACACACAGAAGAGAGAAACTAAAAAAGTCTCTGAGGTTATGTGACATGAGAGCACTGCAGGGCATGGGCTTTTTTAAATTGAAATTGAATTACTAGCGACAGAAGTGAGTACCATGATATTTCTTTAATGCAGGTGCTATTTGGCTACAAGCAAATGATACACAGTTTATTATAGAGCAAAATATTCTCCCTTTAATTTTGGACTTGTTATAACCATAGCAATTATAGCACAGCATGTTAATGATCTGTTAAATATAGTTCAAATCACCAGTGTTTTAATTCCTTTATTCTTTATAAATAAACGTTCCTACTTCTACTTTTAGACAGAGCTGTAGTTCATGCACACAGGATGTCAGTGCACTTCCATACCTGCCTTGTGCCTGGGCAAAGTCAAAAGCAGATAGGAAGACTGAAGCTGGGGAAAAAAGTTTAAACTTTTGTTGTTTTTAAGACCATCTCTCTTTGGAGGGATTATAGAAAAGAAAGCCTTATTTCAAGTGCTACTTTTATGCTGAGAAGTATAGAGTTTAAAACCATACACCAGGAAATTTTGATCTGTGTTAGCCAAGTTTGCTTTCCAGTGTCTCAACAGGGGAGTGACTATCATTTTAGCCAGATGTTAAAAGGAAATGACTTAGTATTTCCTATCAAAATATTAACTTCCTGTATAGAAAATGTCACTTGTCAAAAAGCATTTTTTCTTCCTTTTGTGCAACCTAATGGAAAACAGCAAGTTCAAATGTATTCAGGTTTCTGTTTTCCCTGTGATTGCTATTTTCAATAATAAGAAGAAGCTGCTGTCTCTTGATAGACACAAGAGACTGGTATTAGGGCTTATTTTTTGTTTTGTTGTTTTTGTTGAATTTCCAGTGTCTGTACTGGTAGCTGGGGTTATTCCTCCCCAGGTGCAGGACTTTGCATTTCCTGTTGAACTTCATGGGATTCCCACTCGCCTGTTTCTTCAGCCCTTAAGGTTTCTCTGAAGGGCAGCACGATACTGTTCTGTGTATGAGCCTTTCCTCCCAGGCTCGTATCGTCTGTGGGCTTGCCGAGGGTACCTTTGGTCCCATCACCTCACTAATGAAGATGTTAAACAATATTGGCCCCAGTGTCGAGGCTGGAAGATGCCACAAGTGACTGGCCTGCAGCTGGACTTCCTGCTGCTGATCAGCCCAGCTCACTGTCCACGTGCTTCCCCAGCTTCTCTGAGGACGTTTTGAGAGACAGTGTGAAAGGCATTACTGAAGTTGAGATAAACAATATCTGCTGCTTGCCCCTCTTCAATGAAGTTAGTAATCTCATCCTCGAAGGCTCTCAGGTTGGTTAAGCCCGATTTTCTGCTTCTTAAATCCATGCTGACTATTCCTAATCACCTTCTTGTCCTTCGTGTGTTTGGAAATGGTTGCCAGATTTACTTGCTACATCACTTTACAGGAATCAAAGTGAGGCTGGCCGGCCTGTAGTTCTCTGCTTTTCCTCCCTGGTCTTCTGGAAGAGGACGGTCATATTTGTTTTCTTCTAGTCCTTGCAGCATAGCAGCTGTAGAAGTTGCATAGGAAAATAATTTTGGGAAAATCTTTTTGGTAATCTTTAATGTAAAAAAATTCCTATATATGAAAGGGAAATTATTTATCCTTGAAGGCATTTTTGTTTGTTTGTTTTTCTGCAATCTGAATTCTAACAAGTAAAATGAAACAACATCTTGCATTTTAATGTGCATGTATTCCATCTGTTTCAGTCGTATGTACTACAGTGTGAGACAGAAGAAAACCTGGTTAAGACAAGTTTTCTAAAATGCCTTTTTCTTTGAGGGAAAGGGTAGGATGCTGCCTATGGATGCTTGTCTGAGCTCTTCTATAACACAGAGATGCTTGGCAGTTTTTCACTTTACTATTTAAAGCACATGAGATACCTCTAATATGAGGTACATGGAACAGTATGTCATCAGCATAGTTGCTAAGTTAAACAAGCAGTATTACCATGCTTCTAAAAACTAAAAGTAAACACAATTAATTCAAGTGTAACAGCCCTCTGAAAGAGCCATATAACTGCTGCTCAGTTACTTTTTTTTTCTTCTCCCTCTGTAAACATGCATCTAAGTGCAGTGTTGACTAGTGCTGCATGTTCACAAAAAGGGAAAAATGAACCCTGTTGTGAGTAGGTGGTGGATTAGGTATTTTTATTAGCAACCCATCTGCTTCTGTGTATACTGAAGACTTGTTGAGTGTTTGCTTGAAAATGAAGTGAGAAATTGAGTCAATAAACAGGTTCTACTGGCATCTAATGATTCTAACAGAATTAACCTGTATGTATATTTGAAATGATGTAATATGGAAGTCTCTCTACTTTTATTTCTTGCTAGTCTGATTTTTTTTTCCCCTGAGAATGCTATGACCTTATGCAACAAGAATATTTTTTGTTTTACCAATTGATTTATGTGGACTGGTACATCTTGTTTATCTTTTTGTTTTCTCAGTAACGTTATGAACATTGTTGTGAAGGTCAAGGATGTATTATTGGTCCTGTAACTGGAATCAATAGTAATTAGATAAAAGTACAAGTTTATAGATAAGTATTTTGTTTGTAGGTGTGCTTTGCTTTAAAATTTGCAGTGAGGAAATGAGTTACTCTCTTAAAGAATATTGCCGTACTTTTATGCTCTATTACTTGGCTATTATGTTTGTTTATTGGCTGGAATTAGGCATGAGGTTACATATCCATCATAATACATAAATATATTTTGTGGTTTTACATTTTAGGTCTAAAAACATTTGAAGAAAGATTAAATGCTTCTCCAAGTAACGCTCTAATGGATGACAGAGAATTTCCACCAAATGATCTACAAATAGACTCAAAGGACAGTCTCTCTGCTGACTGTAAGGTAGAAGGTTTGACATCTCATTTGGTATCTTCATCTGATGAAAATGAGAATCAACTTGACCGTGATGGGAATGAGGTTATAACTAGTAGTGACACCGCTATGGGAAGACAGAATGAGGGTGAGCAGGACAGCATCAATAATAATGAAAATACGGACAGTGGAGACTGTGCCCCAACCTGTAAGGAAAGCGAGACTGAGAGGAGATCTGTAAATGTCCATGTGGAGCCCCAGCTGGAGAAAAAACCTGTTACGGAAAAACAGACGGGTGGAAAAAGAAGCCCAAGAAGCAAAAGAGGCTCCAGTAAAAAATCTAAAGGTACTTTCTAAAAAAATTGTCTTGTTTAGTTTGCTTCAAATAATGAAGTTGTAGTTCTAATCTGTGAACTAATAAAAATTAGATATTTTAGTTGCCATGTTAACTGTTTTTAATCTTCATTAAAATAGTGTTTTCGGGACTTTCAGGAATTCTAAAGCAGTTTAAATTTTAGATGTTCTCCATATTTTTCACTGTTTAAATTAGATGTATAGTAAATGGAACATGTGAGGAAGCAGAAATAGAGAGAGGTGCACAGTTTTAGTGCGGAAATTCTGCTAAATTCTGAATCATAGGCTGGAAATTCAGGCAATATGTTTTTGATCATTTGGGTGCTTACTGCAGGATAATTTTGGTGTCTTGTTACAGTGTTAAGATTTGAAATGTTGGGGTCAGCACCAAATTTCTTGATCTTGGCCTGCCATAATCTTTTTTTTTTTTTAAAAAAAAAAAGCTGAATACCTAGTTTCAGGATTTATATTTGGAGTAATGTGCTCAACAAATATGCATCTGCAAATTTTTAATATTACTTCTTCTTTAGATCTTTCAAATTGGATAAGGAAAAATGTAAATGTTTATTACATGTTTCTATTTGAGATGTTTCTTTCCTGTGTGGATCAGGAGGATATGTTTGCTTCAACACAGCGGCTCACTGTGTTCGGTTTGTGCCCTAGACCATAAGGCATATGTGTTATAGCACTGCAAATGTATTAATTGAAATGTGTGTCACATCCCTTTGGTGTCTGTCAAGGTTACATAGAGCCATTGAATTGCACCTGTTCAGCAAATCAGTAATACACCTTTCAGCAAGAGATTTCATATTTAAAAGTAGAATAAAATATTTAATTAAAGCAGAGAGTGTTTGGAATAAGTAATTGAGAAGCGGTCATTTTTTGATGAAGGGAGTAACAGAAGACAAGTTGCTAAAATGTAATAGGATTTGTAAACAGAAGTGTCTGAGGTATAGTGTACTAACAAGAAGAAAGGGAGAAATTTGACTGAAAATTGAAAGTCTTTGCCCATATTCTTCCTTCCTTAGCTTGTATTCCTGTTGATAAATGCAATCAAATGATGCAGAAATACCGCAAAAACAGCTGTACTCAATAGATGGCAGTTTTAAGGCAAAAAGTAGGAAGTGAAAATATTTTTAAAAAACGATGAAAAGTCTAGAGACCTAAAAATACCATGTCAGAGAAGAATGACAGTATCTGGCTCAGAGCACAACAAAACTCTACGAAGTTTAAAACTGTTTTGCTGGGATTAAAAACTCAATCCAAATGAACAAGTCCTGCTACATTATTACCTTGGCTATTCCTGAGTTTCTCCATGTAATATGTGAAATCCTTTTACTAAATTCTACTAGCTTCAGTGCAATAGCAGTAATGATACATGAAGTGTCATCTGCTTAACATATGCATTTATAAAGCCGGTACTCAAATTATCCCTCTTTCCTGAAAATAAAATTAACTTTTTACCCCCAAAAGATCAGTCCTGACATAATTGGTAATTTAATGTTTTGAAGTCATACTGTGCAATTCACCCATACAGCATGATGGCTGGCCCTTGCTCGTTTTTCCCCAAGTTAAATTTTGCACCGTATACTTTTACTGTAAATTATTCACATAATTGAACATGAACATAAATTAGTTAAACTGCATGAGAAAGAAACAAACAAAAAAAACAGGCTATGTAATTTTATTTAAGGTTCTGTGCAATGCTAAACAAGATCTGGAGCTTGGTCTGCTAGAGGTTAGCTATCTGTATCTCTTTTCCCACCAAGACACTTCTGTCTTAAAAATTACATATTTTGGAAATAATTTAGTCTTTTTTTTTTCTTAAAAAAAAACAGTTCTTGAATGAATCAGTCTGAATCAGGTTTCTGCTATTAAAACTATTTTTTTTTTGAATTACACACTTTCTGTACCAGCAAATTGGATGGGAGGATTAGTCTGCTGTTATTCAATATAATAATTAAAATTCAATTAGAAAACAGAGAAGAATATCCATGGCTTTTATTTTAACAGCTTTCTTTTATAGCAATTATTGCTATTAACCTCTGACTCATTCCCAGGTGGATGGCAAGGGCGCCTTGATTTCATACTACCTGAGGCACTGACAAACAATAAAAAATGAAACACTTAGAAACACATTTGTCCTGTTTTTATTCACAAGTTCAGCTTGTCAAAACAGTGTGGGGCTGCTTGGGCATAACTCTTAAGAAAATAAAGGCATCTTATTTTGTACTTTTAAGTTAATTTGGAATATGAAATTTTAGACATTTTTGTATTTTGGTGACATGGCTCAATTGTGATTTTGAATCTGACTAATGCAAAAGGTGAATTTAGCCTGAGCTCATAATCAAAATCATTGAAAAAAAGAAATGAGAATCTAATAGATTAATTCTGCAAGTTTGTTAGCTTTAAAACCTTTCTTTGTTTTTTTTTTTTTTTTTAGAAACAAAGAAGAACAGACAAGTGAAAGAAAAAAATAAAGATGTATGTTAGCTAACACCTTTTTGATGAAATAGCATTACTACATGTTACTGCCTCAAGAAAAATTCCAGGTTGCAGTACTGCTAAGGAACAGCTGCTCTCTTCAATTTAAAAGAAAACCAGGTAGAAGTAGCTTGAGTGACTGTAAAGAGTTGCTTGAGAATTAATGGAGTAAATAGAGGGCAGAAGTTATTCTAGGAGAGTCACAGTACAGCTGTATGTAGGAATAAAATGCAGTTTATAAACTATTCGCTAGCAACAGTATCAAAACAATATTGAAATGCAGTCTTCCACGGTACTCGCTACTGAGCATGTTTCAGACAACATTCCTATTTTGATGTTGCAGATGATCATTAACTGCTTAATATAGTGAAGTTTGAAGTGATGTGTTTTTCTGAGGCAAAAGTTTTGCTAAAAGTTTTGGATTCTCCTTTCCGATTTCATGATCATGTGCTGTACGAAGAGCTGATTTATTGAACATAGTCTTGACTTCATCTCTAAAAACACTTCCCAGTCAATATCCTGCATCCCCTTATGTCCCTTATTGCTTCAGACCCACAGCAGCTGGGAACAAATACTGGAAAAGCAGGGACATAAATTAATAGTGAAAAAGCAGTGTTAAGCTACACCCATCTTTCATCTGCCAATACGAGCTGCAAAAATAGCCCCTGGAGAGATTACTGGTGCTTCTGCTCTGGGTAGTTTATTTAATGAAGAGTTTTTAAGAAGGGAGGGCAGTAGTGGAGTTCTCGACTGACACTTGAAGACCTTTCTTGAGCCCTAAATCTTAACCCTGAGCCATTGCTCTAGAGCTGCAGTTGCAAAGAACACAAAGTTCTGTGCAGTGTGCTTGCTGCACGCTGTGCTGAGTGCCTAAGCTGTAGAAACAGAGTCAAAATATGCTTACCGTAGGAGCTGGTGATAGGTTATCCCCAAACAGTGCCCCCCGTGTCCTGCTTTTGACTGGTGACAGGTTTTTTAGGAAATGGGCTTCGTTCAGGAAAGAAGACATACTCACTGCAGCTTGAACTTACAAGTTCATTGTGTACTTTTCGGTGTTCTTGATTTTGTATCACCTATGCAGGTTGTTTTGCCAGATGCAGTCAAAATCATTTTTAAGGTGATTTAAACAAATGTAAAATTCTAGAAATATATTTGACAGAATTAAAAATAGTTGTGTATATATTACTGGCTTTACTCTTGTTTTCATTTGTTTGTATTTACTCCTTTCTTATTCTTTAGTTGCACCAGTTTAATATACAGGATGGGGATTTTAATTAAATCCTGTGGAATATTGCTCTTTTCCATAGACAAAGCTCAGAATTTGCCTTCTGGAAATGTGAAAACTTTTTTTTTTCCTCCAAATAAGAGATAAATTTCTCAATTCCTTGCAATGTGGAAGTTACTTATTTCAGAAACTCTTGAAATGAGAATGTGCTGCTTATTTACATTATAAACAAGATATGTTTTGTGCAGAAAGGTTATATCAACTGTCAATACAGACTGAACTTTTTTTTTTCCCTTTTTTTAAGTGACTTCTACTAATCAAGTAATGTCAGATTGGGAGAACAGTCTGTTCAGTTTATCCTGCCTGTGTTAATCTTGCAAGTCTTAACCATATCCCCATTTGTTCTTCTCCAGACAGAGTCCAGAGCTTAGTGCCATTCGCACAGTTGGAGCTTTCACTGATGAACAGTGGCTCACAGAAGGAAGTAAAGAAGCCAAATAGAAATTGTCCCCATCAATCCCTGGAGAATCCCACCACTAACCTTTGTCTATCCTGAAAAAATGCTCATTAAGCCTCACCTTCCAGTCTTTTAAGAACTTCTCCATCAGTCCTTTGGCAACTTAGTTTCTTTCATAGGTGTGAGAGGAATGTTTTGAAAGGCATTCTTGGAAATTCCCTTTATCCACGTGTTTTATCGGCCTCCAGCAGGTTAGCACAGCTGGCTTTCCTTTCACAGCAGCTGTGCTGGCTTCACCACCATCATCAGTGTTTCGTGTGCTCTGTGATTTTGCCTACTGCAGCTTCCAGTGACTTCCCAGAGATGGAAGGCAGTCTTCCAAGCCTGTAGTCCCCGAGATTTCTTCTAGGGACACTTTTTGTAGATGGGCTGCCCTGGTGATCCATCAGTCCCCAAGCGGCCCTTTGTAATAACTTGGCCAGCAGTTTCGCAGGCTAAAATGATCTGTGTTGTGGTCCTGTTTGGTCCCTAGTTCTGTACTATCCGTGACCAAATCCAGAAAGGCATCATTCTGGTGAGTCCTAAGACTGTATTCTGGGAAGGGATCATTTGCTGTTTTCAAATCTTTGTTTTCCCTCCTCCTCGTGAGATGCTCCTCCAATGGGGCTCCTCCTTCCACTGCCTTAATCTCACCTAATGTTTCCTGATGACTATCACATAAGCAGCCATGTGCTAGGTATGCTAGCATACATATATTCCACCTGCCTGTTCCACCTTGGCACTTCTATCAAAGGGGTAGAGTGGCAACAGTGGATTGATAGGGAATGAACTGTGCAGGTCCCAGGCTTCGGCCTAGCAAGGCATTCTAGTAGCTAAACTGAGATTTTGCACTTCCTCCTGTCATTGGTACCAATGTAGGCCACCACCACTGGACTCCCAGTTAAACTATGCAGATGTCTAGGAATGTTTCCATTTGCACTGAGCTCAAGAGTGCAAATTGTCCTCCTGGACATCCATCTGTCCCATAGTAGAAGCTCCTACTATTTGCTTTTTTCTGTCCTCCAAGATCTTCTTTTTGCTGTAAGGAAACACTGTGCTGTCATCCTGTGTCATCCTTCCCAGCAGGCCCATTCCTTCACTGGTATTTTTCCACGTCCTTGGCACAGGAGCCTATTTCTGTTTTTCTCACATATTTGAGGCAGCTACTTGTACAAAAATGTACAAAGGAGCTGATCTTAGTGTGTTTCTTTTCAGGTAGGTGAGCTGAGACTGAGACAAATGTGTTACAACTCATCTTGACAGCATCAATATTTTGTCAGGGGTGTTAACAGGGCCATTATTTGATTAAAGTTTTTATTTAAAGCTTTTGTATTGAAAAATTCCTGGAAATTCAAGTTGATGTGTTTTTGAATCCTAACCAAACTCCGTGTTTTTTTTAAAGGAGTTCCTTCAGTGGGAACCACAGCAATCAAGGAAGAAAATATTCTTGTTACAGACACAGACACTGTGCGTGCTGAAGGTGCAAACGAAGCAAATGAAGACTCTTACCAGAAAGAACAAAAGCAAACATTGCCATCCCTTTTCTCTTTGCTCCGTGAAGAGGTTGAGCAGATGAATTCAAAGATACTGCCTCTGTGTCTCCATCAGGTACTTGCTATGTGTCTGCGTTGTTGCACTAACTTGGTTATTATTTGAGGTCTTTTTTCATTAGGAAAAAGAAGCCTTATTTCAACATACAGTAATATCCATATCCAGACAGACAGTTTTGATATATAAAGGGTGGTAAAAGCACATTTCTCCTCTAAGATTCTCTAATACATATTAAAACTAAACATTTTCTTGGAATCATATTCTACAGTAAAAGAAAACGCTTAAAGACAGGTTTTCTATCAGGTATAATATGTTTTGAAACAGAGTTTTCTTGTCCATTAAAGGATTTAGACAGGTTTTTTTTCTTCACATGATGAAATTCTAGAGTGTGGTAGGAAAACTTAGGTAAGAGGCTTAGGTGTATGTGGTAAGACGAGACAACAGTGGCTAGATCGCATTTTAAATCTGCATTTATCTTTACTGTTGCATACTCCTTTCGAGCACAAGGTTAATACCTGGCAACTGAGGTCCCAGATTTCTTGGTGTATACTTTTTTATAGTACAGTCACCATCTCTGTAAGGAAAAGGAAATTGTGTAGGATTTGAAAAGCATTCTCTTTTCACTATTTGGCAAGTATATTTTTCTTTCTGGAGACTGTGCCACAAGATGCACAATGGATTAGACTTCTTGCTCTATTAACAGATAAATCAGTAGTATCAGACTCACAGTGGGGCAGAAGAGCTCGTGTTTGCCTATAGTGTCTAGTTTAGGTTATTTAGGTTATTAGGTTATTGCGTTATTTTTACCATGAAAAAAATGGATGAGTGTTTACATTTTTTTTTCATTTGAAAATCTGTGTTTGAGTAAAGTTATTTCCTACTGTTTCTTAGCTTATTTGAAATTTAGCATTAAGGTTAACGAGTTGCTTTTGTAACCAGGTGTTATTTGGTGGTCACTCAATAGTCAGTACAAAGGTGTGTGTGGGAAGACAGTGCAGTTCAAACAAGAGTCTCAAGATGGTTTACAAACATTAAGGAATATCATCACCAATATAGAGGTGAAATCCGTCTGCTGCTCTACAGATGAGGAAGCCAAATCACGAAAGGAACAACCTTTCTCGAGGTCATATAGGAACTGTGACAGAACCAGAATCGAAAATAGAATGTGGGTTCCCGGATTCAAAAACCTTAAAAGAGCATCACCTTTTTTTTTTTTTTTTTTAATATTAAGCGTTTTCTAAGGGAATGTTTGGAAGACAATTAACAGAACTTGAAAGGATCACAGAACACATCTTAATCCAGAAAAAAAATACAGGATTTGAAAGATAACATTCATGATTTCATGTGAAATGAATTCTAGTAAGAGCTTTTTTTTTTTTTTTTTTTTTTTTTTTTTTTTTTTTCCCTCTCTTTCCCAATGGGTTAACTCATCATCTTCAGTCTTATCTCAGGTTGCTAATACAACCTGCCAGTAACCTACTTTTATATTGTCTTGCAAATATTCTTCTATCATATTTTAATCTTTTATTTCCTGTGTGGGAGAATGCAATGTAAAAACAAGACCTGTATCAAATATTCTGGAGTACTAACATTCAGCATTGTTAATGAGAAGTCTGCATTAAATATTTAAAGGTTATCAGGGATTATCCTAGCATTATCTTTGAATTAAAATATAACTTTTTTTTTCCAGTCTTGCATGAGATCCATGTGATTTGCTTAGCATTTATATGTTTGGATTCTTAAAAGCATTTATATATGAACATAGATACAGAACTTCTTTGACAGCTCCAGAAAAAAAGAAGAGTTTTAGAAGTCACTTTACCAATTCCCTTTTAGGAGATGCTCTACTCAGAATGATCTTGTGATAGGTAATAAGACTGAGGGTCAGGCAACCCCAACTTTTAATCTAGACAGCTCTACAAAATTGCTGTCTCTTTTTGAGCCATCAGCTTGGGAATTTTTGCAAAACTGCCCATTTATTGGTAAGATCTTCAGGTTTGGAATGTCTAAATTGGTATGGCCAGAAGACAGGAAATGTCTCAACCTCAGGGTTCAGGTATCAGCTCTCTGCGGCTACCAGATGCTTTTTGCAAGCGTGGCCCTACTACACCGTGTACAGCGCATAGGAAGATTGCCAATATTCAGTGTTGCCAAGATTGGACAGTTAGTGCTTGTCAAGGTCTATGAGACTGTGAAAAAGTTCTGTAAGACAAAATGTTTTCATTTCTGAGATTTATATTCTTTGTGTTTTATTCCATTTACAAACCAAGCCTCAGGTCCCTGGGAAAGTTTGCCCACCTTTCTGACAAGCACAAAAAAAGTTCTTATTGTTGCAAATCTCAAAGATTATTCCTCAAAAGGGAGAATGGGAAGCAAGACATTTCGTTACCATGTTAGCTTTTCTCTACAGTGTTACACCTTGTAGTTTCCAGTTATCAACTGTGTCTTTTCTGTAATACTCCCTATCATCAGCTCAAGAGTCAAAGTGAAGTTCTGTTTTACTTAGAAACACTCATTTTCTGACTATCTTTGGATGCTTATGTTCTCTGAGCTGGTTACAGGGACTGTGGTACAGTGATGTCTTTGCCCTTCAACTTCTGCCACTATGGCTTCAAGATTGTCATCTCAGGCATGTGACTGGAGTGTAACTAGGAAGTTAAGTTACAACCAAACAAATTGAATGAGTCCCTTAAAAGAAAAAAATATTTTTCTTCTTAATACTTATCTGATAAATTTCAAATATTCAGCATTTGAAATATTACAAGGGGATATGAGCAGGAAAATTACTCCAAACATGTCATAGGCAATATTTTTAGGGTCTTTGATGCAAAATTGTTCCTTTCTCCTTCATCAGATCTCCACTGCCTCCCATTTATTACATGCTCCGGAGAGCTCAGCACTGATCTGACTTCTTCCAAACATGAGGGGAGTAGTGGTCAGTAATAGAATACAAGTGGTCAGTGATAGAATACAAGCTCTTTGACCCACCTAATTATCAGTGATCATAATACTTCTGTTCTAGCTCTTTCTAAAAGTAGTATCACTGAAAAGAAAATTGCTAAAATATATGTTGCTGTAACAAGATAAAAACTAATGTTTGGCCAAATCTGTGTGAACTGACTTACTGTTTTTATCTTGTTTGATTTTCTTTTGGACATCTTTCCTGCTGTAAGGATACATGCATTTAGTCTGAACATTTGATTTTTATCCAAATTAAATATGAATCTGCAAAAGAGATACTTAAAATAAATCCTATTATGCTGTTGCCACTATCATAAAAATTAGAGAATCCTATTTTTTTTTCTTTTTTTCATTTACAGATAGCTGAGACCTATTTTCAAGAGGAAGAATGTATCCTTTTACTGGTAAAAATTGGTGTGGATTGTTAAAATAATCTGGCATGATAAAACAGAGGAAATATGAGCTAAATATGGAGTATGAGTTAAATAGCAAATGAGCTTTTAAAAGGTGTGCTGATATAATCATATACAAACATGGAAGTAGGAAAATATTTTCAAAGAACATGATCCATAGGAAAAAATCTGCTTTAACAATTAGTAACCAGGAATACATCCAATCTAGATAAGGTATGTTTTGTAACGTGTAAAATAGGACACCATTATAATAAGAGCACCATTAAGATTGCTGTGGCTATGCATATGTACCGTTTATGTCTATCTTAGAATAAAAACACCAGTTACTCAGCTAAGGGAGAACGGCAACATGTTCTTTGTCCTTTGCTTATTGGTCAGTTGTCGCCTCAAGATTTTTTGAGAATTGGTCACAGGAAACTAGGAGTAATTGCTTCTGGAACAGCCGGTTCAGTGGCGCAGATAGGTTATTTTGATTTGTTCTGAGATGATGCAAACAAATTTGGCCAAAAAGTTACACTAGTTGAACTGCTAATAATTACTTTGATATATTTCAGCATTTCTGGAAGAGAAAGATTATATTAAACTTTGAAGTGTAATTATATTTTTAGAAAAGGTGGAAGCAGGTTTTACTCTCTTTGCTTTTGAGAGAAACTAATCAGACTGTAAAAAGAAGGAAGCGTACTAGTCTTTAAGGTAGATGTGGTTCACTAAGGTACATCATAAATTTAAAAATCTATTATTTACAGATTATTTGTCCATTATGTCATTTGTGGCCTTTGTAAAAACAAAGAAATAGGAGTGAATAGGCAATCATGGGCATTAAATAACAATGTAAGAAACTCTGAAAGGTAGGCTTCTAAAAACTGAAATCCATCCAACTAGTCTTACAAAAACAAAGAGAAATAACTGTGTCATTATGATAAAAGCAATATATAAAATAAAGTATCTATCTGTCTTAAAAGACTGTCCTTCTGGTTTGGTCATCCCAAAAAACATCCATCAACAAACATGAAGACTGTAATATAAACCAGAGGAATGGAAAATTTTGTAGTGGAACATGGCTCTCCATGGGGAAATACAGTAAATTGAAATTGTATTCAACAAAGTGGTAGAAGGACAGCTTCGCTTTCATAGAAGCGGCTTTAATTGTAGGGCACTATATTTAAAACTGATCAAAGGAATTATTTTTTGATGCAATATACATCTGATGGGTGGAATTTAACACTACTACATTTTTATATGTATAAAATAATTATGAAGTTTTATGAAGTTTTATGTATAACAGTTGTAAAGGTGTCTTGTGAAATTTTGAAAGGGAAATTTGTTTTTAATATCTCCAACTGGTCAGTAAAAAAACGTATTTTCAAATAGTTGCGTTATTGACATATAATTGTCAATGATAGATATAGGCTTGTATTTATATATTTTGCTTTTCATTTCCAATAGATTTCATTTCAGGAAAAATAAAAGAGAAAGTTCTGTGGTAACACTTTGCTCATTTCTTTTCTGGAAAAAAACACTGTCTTTAGGCTCAAGGTATGGGGGAAGAGGTAACTGCTGAAGACAATAGGTTCTGCACTTTTGGAATTTTGTTCAACTTCTGTAATTTCTTATTTTCTGTGTTCATATCTGCTATTGCTTCTTTTTGCCTGCCCAGAAATCTGGATGCTAACCATATGATTTTTCCTATTTATTTTAGTTCAATTACATAATGATTGTCCATTCAAATATGATGTCAAATGGAAGTAAATCATAATAAGTTTGCATATGTGTGTATTTTTCTTTAACCTTTCGTTCAGATGAGAAGGCAATGAAATTCATCCAGCTTGAACGGCTCTATCATGAGCAGCTGCTTGCAAATCTCTCTTCCATACAGGAGCAGTGGGGTGAGTACAGGCTGCACTAATGGTAGACAGAAGAGTTAACTTGTTCTGTATTTCTACATAATAGAGCATACATTTTGCCAGCTTAAATCTGTTGCAAAGCAAGAGAAGCATTTAGACAGAATTTCTCTGGGCTTGCTTGGAGAAAAGTATTTCTTCTTTGTGTTCCTTTATTTGGGTGTCATGAAAAGGTGCAAATAGTCAATCAGTCTTTATACTCATTAATTGAGATTTTGATTGTTTTACAGTTATTTTGTACTTATATTTTAGAGTTAGTGAATCTGGTGTGAGAAAAATACACTGTAACAAAGTATGGTACTTTTTTCATAGTCTGATACAAGATTACAGAGCATACACAGAAGAGCTGTTGATATTTTTCCATTTCTTATTTTACTGTGAAAGTTTTAGGTTAAGTATTAAATTTAAAGTACTTCAGGTAAAAATATTCTTTGATTAAATTTAGAAAGAAAATGGAAAGCAGCAGCTCCTAGTCGAGTTACAGTAAGGAATTCGGCTAAAGAGCTGAGCAGTGAAGAGTTGGAAAAGCTTACAAAAGTTTGTTCTTCACATCAACAGTAAGTATAAGAAAATATTATTACTTTATTGGTACTAAGAAGTTAGCTTAGCTGTTCCATACTTACTAGAATAGTTTTTTTTAAAAATAGTTGATCCCAAAATAAAAGTTGCATCCCACTGACTTCAATCAACGTAGCTATAAGGCAGTTACTGGTTTTGATGTATAGTAAGAATGTTTCAGTTACCATCACTTTTTACAGTGAATTAATATGGTTTGATGAACTTATAGGGACTATGGCTGAACTAATTCTGTTTTCAGCAAATTGTTATTTTGCCAAAAAATGAGTTAGTTTGAAGATATTTTCAGCCAAAACAAAAATTAAATAGTGTTAAGAACAGATAGACTATAAAACCGATCCTGCTGTTTACATTTATAACCCCTATAGTTTTAACCAATATTTTAAAATACATTTGCCCAGCATCTCAGATCCTAGCATTCCAATCTGTCCTATAAGATTTTGTCCCTGTATCTTCCATATTTTAGGACAATTCCCTAACTGTGGGGTGATTATTTTTGTGGTCAATTTATATAGGCTGGTTAAACATTATGAAGCAGTGATTTTGTAGTTCACTAGTGTGGCAATCTTCTGAAAGCTAAAAAATCAAAGCACTGAGTCAGTGCTTTGTGTGATTCAGCAGCCTCCTGCCCATATATCACAATATGGGAAACTTTGGGCAGCGCCAAGGGTGCTCCTCTGGGCAGTGACAGGTATGGGCTGGTACCTGCCAGGCAGGAGAAGTGACCTGAGCTCAGATCACGGGCGAATGCCCCACACTGGGTATTGGAGTGTAAGGGACAAAGGGAACACAAATACTATCTGCTTCTGAAAAGCAATTGGCCAGGAATAATGAGCAATATAATCACACTTAGAGGCTGTTGAAAGACTCACCTGTGGCAGGGAGATGCCAATTGGATGAGGAGAGAGAAAATTTTCAAATACCTTTGCATTCCTTAATCAGTCTGCCAGAAACGCTCATGTTCTTCAAAGGGAGTGCAATTGGACTTCAACACATCTTCCCTGGGTGACTGTGCAGAAGCTGAAAAGCGCCCAGGTTTCCTGCCAGGACACACGTGGGATGGGGCCGCGAGAAGTGCCAGCCTGCGCTTCCGCAGGAGGCAGCTCCTGCACCCTTGTGCTTACAGGCTGCTCCCTTGGGAGCCCCGCGTGCCGCAGGGCCTCCTGGCTCCCATTCCAGCGTGCGCGACCCGGCAGGCTCCCAGGTTACCTCTGCTGTGCTTAATGTGCTTGCAGCTAGCAGCACTGAATTGTCACCTTGCTGAGAGGAACTCTGCTTTCTCCTGATTCTTCCATGCAGCCTCCTATTTAAATAGAAAAATTAAGTTCTGTAGCATTATTCTTCTTTCTGTGGAAGCTTGCAATCTGGTCAAAATTAAGGATTGTGCTTGTTTGCCATGACTAATTCTCTGTGTTTATTAGCACTCTTCCAAAACTCTCTAGATTTAGCCCAAAGTCTATATACTTTCATTGTTTAATATTTTTTTCTAAGCTTTGGACTCAATTTACTTTGTAATTAAAGCAGTACTTCTATTGTAAATCAGTAATGAGGGTTATGTGTTTGTAAATGTGAGTGTTTTGCTTTTGCGACTGAAAGCAATGTAACTTTTTATGGTGCTCAAGGTCTCCAGCTACACAGTAGAAACTGTTACTTTAAAGGAAGATTTGGAAGTTTCTCATGTAAAGCTTAAAGTGAAAAATTTAAAAGTCAGTGCAAGTTTCAAAAGTTTGTGTTAGAAGGTGTGCAAGTCTTTTCCCTCTTGTATCTCCTTACCTTCTCTTGAGACCTTTTATTCAGCAACTTTATGCAAAATGCTCAGAATTTTCTCTTCATTCCTATATGAAAGACTAGAAGACAGACTGTGCTGTAAAACAGATTGTGCATGGATTTTATACGGTTTGCAAAGTCCACACTGATTATTAGCAGTGACATGAATCCCAGTGGAACCAATGGGAACTACTGAATCTTTCAATGCCCAGAAAATGTGTCCCAACATATATAGTTCATGGGCAGAGAAATAAGTATTTCTTTCTGCCCTAGATCTCTCATATGGTAATCAGCATTTTTAATACCAGTAGTTATGGTGCTGTTTCATGATTTCTAAAGTTGATAGCACTCCTTTTAGCATAAACTTTTACAGGAGTTCAGATCACTTGCGGTGCTGAAGTAACTTCTTTTTAAGTACCTACTTGCTTAGGTAGAGCAATATTTGTGCTAACTGGTCTTCTGATGATATTCGCATATAGTACAGATCAGTGCTTGAAACTATGCTAGCATGCTGATCGTGTTTCGTGTTTGAAATGTTCTGTGCTAGTATTAGGTTAGAAAAAAAGGCTAATGTTATTTGAATCATTGTTTTGCTGACACTTTTTATGAAGAATCTTGTTACCGAGTGGCTTATTTTTATTCTTATTTTTTTTATTATTGCAGGCCACTTGCATCCAAACATAAGGTAAGAAGCTGTTTATGTGAACTGCTTTTTTGGAGATCACTTATAAATGTATTTTTAATATTATTAGATATTCTTTTTTTTTTTTTTAGCATATCATAGTATCATGGAATAGTGCAGAATATTTTTTAAGCTTGGATGTCTCAACTGCAGAATTGCTATCTAAGTCCACCAGTTAGAGGAAATACTGTTTTATTTTACAGCTAGCAGCTGCAGAAAATACATGGGAAAGCAGTCATTTCCTCCAATTAATGGGATCAGAAAGTTTAAAGGAAAGTGAAGCTGCAGCTTTTAAATCAGGTATGTGTGTGTACAAGTATTTGCTTTAAGAATTTTACTGTAAGTATATATTCCTATAATTACTGTGCGGCTATTCCGTCTGAAGCTACAGCATTTATGTTGGAGTCCCACAGATTCATCCCTTTTTGCAGATTTTAATTTTCAATTACAACACTTTTAGTTAGTCATTGGTCTTCAGAATTATTAGAATTAAAAATAAAATAATTAAATTATTAAATTAAGAATGATTTCATCCCCCATCATAAAAGTTGCTTTTAAATGAACATGTGGATATAAAATTGTATTTAAGCTAGATATAAGACATAATCCCTTGAAAAATGCTTTAAGTTGTGGCCACTGAATATTGTTAAGAGTATTAAGAACATCTGTTTTTTAATTGCAGATGATGTAGTCACATTTTTCTGTAACAGCACAGAAAAAGCTTTTATATTTAAAGAGAAAAACATGCTTACTTTTTTTCTGAAAATTTTTAAGTTTTATGTTATCTTATATTTTCTCCTGTTTTGCGACAGCAGCTGTTTGAGTAATGTTTACTTGAATTGTTGGGTTCTTATGAGAGGTTTGCAAATGAATTGTCAAAGT